GAAGAACCAGCTAGAAACGCAGCGGGACTTAAAAAAAAACAACTTACAATCATGTATGTTATACATACATGATTGTAAGTTGAATTACTGACTCGGTGGAGACGAACAACTGGTACCACTAGCTTGTGTCTGTTCCTAGTATCATAGCACGAATATTACTTATTTTTGTAAAATTACTTTTATTTTTATGTACGTACATTAAATATATTAAGAGACCAAAGTTAATATATTAATTTCTTTAAATTTTTGTCTGAGCTACTCTTCACGTTTTAAATCATAAATTGCTCTAATAGCTCTCTTCTGTAAAACAAATATAATTTCAGTGTCAGTCGCGTGTCCCTATAGCAAAATACCATGCGAAATTATGCTATGGAAATAGCTTAAGTAAACTAGTCTAAATGTTTCAACACTGGTAACTCTTCTAATCTTTTTACAAAACAAGATTCAGCTCCTCCCTATTTAAAATTACATTACCCCTATTTAAAATTACATTACCCTATTTCAAAATTACATTAGTACTAACATGTTTGACATTCTGAATGTATGAGTTTTATATATTTAATTTTAATGCCATATAAATGCCAATTATCTACTTCGTAATTTAGTAACTGCGGTTTTAATTTGAATACTGATGTGTCATCAGCAAATAATACTATATCATGGTTATCCCCATAAACATATAGTTCAATTGTAAACCTTTCCCTTTTTTTGAAGTCTGCTAAAAGTAATCTTTAAGTTTTATGCTGCTCCGTTGGAGTCTAAAGAGAGCAATATTTTTGGCTGGCGTGTACTGTGTACGTACATCCGTTTCGAAAACTGCCCACAACTTCTGAACTATTTGTTTGTTTTTGACAAATTGTGTGTGTAAAGCAGAGTATAGCGTAACCATAAAATAAATTATGCTTTTATAAATTCACAATCTAAAAAACAATAATTATGATTGTGGAAACAGTTCTTTAAGTCAATATATTTTTAATGAGTCGAAAGTATCCGAATTTTGCATTTTTAAAACATTTAGAAATTCATAACTCCGAAAATATTAACTTTATCGTAAAAGTCATAGCACTTTTTTATTTGTACATAATCATATAATATAGAAAGAGGGGTTCATTGTCTTTAAAAAATAATTTACTGGTTAATTCGACCAATATATTCGCAAATTTTCATTTTCACCATCCCAAGTTGTTTATAACTCATGGTAACCTACATCCTCGTGACCGACAACCGTGGAAGGTTAAGACACGACGGGGCAAGGGGCCCATAGATTTATTATGAACTTAATTTAATTACAGAATAATACATTATTAGACGCTGAAATAAAGCTGTTAGTTACTGCTAAGTGTGTTATTAAGTAGTTAATTTATTTAAATAAGTAAATTAAGTTAGCAGTATCATATACTTGGAGCTTGACTACTGAAGGTGTACGCTAGTTTATATTTTAATAGTATCACTGTGTAATTTATTACGATATTTGTAGCTGTTCAAGTATAACTTGCTGCCATAAAACAGTCCTTTGAGAAACTAATAGCTTAATCCAACGTAATATACTCTCAAGTATCGGTTTGTCTGAATGTGGCTGTCTCTAATAACTTCAGAGCATTTAAATTGTTTTGGCTTTAATGAGCTTAAATATAATTGAAGGAGAGAATTGTATGTCTGATGGAGCAAATTTGAAAATACCCATCCGGCTGTTAGCTTTTAGTTGATTGTAGATTCTAGTTGACGACTAATAATTAAAGTTAGGTAAATCCATTAGAATTTAATTTTATAAAAATCATAAGAGTTTCTTATGCTGAGTCGTGACGGGGCGTACGTTGATTCTCCACATTCGTCTCACTGGTATCGTTGGAGAGGTGTCTACACCAAATGTAAAAACAAAGTTGCGATTAGTGCGAGATGTCTGGTAACTACTGCCGGCAATCCTCTGCGTAGCGTAGCGACTATAGTGAAAGCTCCTAAGCTCGAGCGACCCACGTTCAGTCGTGGACATTTGGGTGTTGGTTAAGGGGAAGCATATAATATATCGTTAGTAGAAATAGTATAAATTGTTAACATGAATATACAAATTTCATAACCACAGTACAATATCAATCAAATGTATTACTTTCTCCTTCCTTGCAAAGGCATTTATAATTAAATCGTACAATAATAATAACCTAATATGTCTGTATCTCTAATCTACCTCATAATTGTCGTCAGTGAATAGTTTAATCAGCAGAGAAACTCGAAAGTGCGTGCCCGTTGCTTGCAATTACAGCAAAGTGCACCCAGCCCACGTACAGCGCGCTTCGCAGCTTTCGTCGTCGTGTCGAGGTGATAAATGGGCAATTTAGCGTCCTCGTGAGATCCTTTGTGGTCCGCTAACACCATGATTGGGCGAGGAGAACACCATCTCGTGACTGTTTAATCGCTTTATTAATGGAGATGAAGTTGTGTTTATTTATCAGTCCATTCCTAAATACTTCGCAGTTTTCATTAAATTTGCGAAACAGATTAAAAATTTCTTTTACACTACACTTATATAATTTATGCACTGTGGAAATCATATTTTACTTAATGACATAATTGCTTATTGCTGACTTACTATCTGCTGAACCACTGAGTGAACTCGTACTACTTACACATTTACATACATAATATATGTTGAATAATTATAAAGTAATAAGGATATATAATAACTTATGGGCCATAGTGATTATTCAACATTATAGAGTAATAAATGTGTTATTCGGCGCCCTTCAGTAGAATAAAAAAAATTATCACCACAATCGCAGTTTTTATAATGGAATAAAATTTAAGAACGTTACACACGTAAACGCTTAACGTTATAATTTGATCGTATGTTTCTTAATACGCAGACGTGTAACCTTACAAAAGCGGAAGAAAGGGAACGCGAACGACAAGCTTAAATCTCACCTGACGCAAGATTAGGGGTGGGTTCTTGTCACTTGATACGTTTGTAGACTTTTGTGTAGTAGGGCTTCCTCAATGCTCAACGCAGGGATCATATAAGGTGACATGTGTTGCTTTTGTTGGTTTACAAAATATTTATTTCTTTTTTATGTTTCTTGTCCCCTTTATCGATTATTCTGAATGTAGTATTACTTTGTTAGGTTTGTGGTTTGTTGCGTTTTAAATTTAAATACGTTATCACGTCACTATAATTGTCAAGGCAAGCAGATAGAACTGATCATTCTAGGTGTTTTATTTAGTTAACTAAGTTGTAACGTAAATAGTTTTCTACCCTAGGCTAGTTTTGATTGTTTGATATGACAGCAAACAACATATTATGCTCGCCAAAAGAGTCAATATCGAGCGCATATCTATCACTTCCTTATTATTTGATGCGACGCGGCAGCGATACGACGCGTCCGCCTTGCAACAGAAAATTTATGTCGCGTGCTCGTTTACCAAAGGGTATCTCTCAAAAATCAAAATATTCTCTTGCAGCTTGTATTACCAACCGGTTGTTTATAAAGATTTTTTTATGTATGGGCTGCCTTTAGTATGACACACTTGACGAAGATATAGTTACAAATAATGAGAATAAAGTTTTGCGTGATAATTTGATTTAAATAATGTCAGGCAACCGATCAGGAAACAGCCGTAAAATCGAATTTTTGTGTCGCTAGTTGGCTTTAAAATGTAGCATCAAATCATACGCATCAAAAAATGCATAAATATTTAAACACTGCCACAACCCAGCCGTGGTTAAATTCTCCAGTTGTATCGACAAAGAAAAGAAGGTTCATGAAGAAGAAAAAATTATTTATTATTTTGTACGTAAATATTAATGATTAATATGACCTTTTGGTTTTCTGAATAAAATAAATTTCAAAATATCAAAGCACGTGTTTATATAAGTGATAGATGTTGTTCGTGAAATTTTCAGACTTGGCTCTTTTGACAGCGACAATCAGAAAAAAGGCCGGTGACAGAGCGTGGGTTGCAGTCGTGCATGCGTAACGATATATAAGCTGATGATTGACCACGTATTTTTGACCAGTGAGATAAACTGCCCATCCCATAGATATAGTTTTAGCTATAATATGTTCTTTCTTCTCGTAGTCTTTGACATCTCGGTCAGTGAATAATTTCTAAAATAACAATTTCATACAGTTATTCGTAACTAAATTCAAAACTTAAAATTCTAAAACGCTTTAATCACATGTACGTATTATTCATTATATCTTTAATATGAAGAATAGTGTTGACGGTGAAAATATATGATACGCAACAAATGAACTTTAAATGTATCTTAACATATTGGTCCTCGGTTGGACGTTATTACAATAATTGTACTTCAGAACTCCGCAGCTGTAAATGTTACTAATGTCTCTACTTTTTTGTTGTTTTTCTAGCTATCTAGCTACGATAAAATAAAAAATTTAATAAAATATATAGATTAAATTAAATTAAATGTACGATAGAAGTCTTTGGAAAGTATTCGTTCGTGTGTTAAAAGTTACCTTACGGGGATATCTCCAATACATCCGGCAGTTTGCTAGAAACGCCGAGATAAGAAAATAAGTTTTTATGTTACCTAATAAGAATTAATTCTTCAATTAGGTTTCAACAAATGTACTGATAAAGGGAATGCAATAAAACAGATGCCCTTTTCCGACAACTTAATAATTTCTCCGTCATTGGAATGAACGAGCTCGAAGATACTTTAACGCGATAGCTCTGACCACGCTCTACCTTTCGACTTAATGCACTATTTAAGGTGGTTCGATATTCAATAACTGCCCATAAACAAAAACTGTTATTTTTCACTACCTCTCCACGCCCACTGCTTACAGATTTTCTTTTTAAGGTGATTTATTTTTAGAATGTGAACTCATAAGCATGTTGCATGTTTTATTTGTCGTTGTCATTTTCAAACTTTTTAACATATAATTAACAATAAATTACATGTCGAGTATCCCGTTCGTGTCACATTTTGTTATGTTTATGAGCCATGTTCGCACAATGGTTATGACGTTCAGACATGTCGTTTAATGAAGAGTTGTCGCGTGGCTCACAATTCTGGTTTCGCCCTGCAGATTGTTTCTGCTTCTGTGGGTGTTGTGTCGGAAGATTATCTAAAGAGACTTATGTATCCGCTCGTCGTGCCCATCGATATGGTGAAATGAATTGCTTGTCGTGGGTACACCGTACACACGATGATTGCTACGTCAGTGCGGAGCTGAGAGCGAATTTATTATTATCGTCTCTTTGTCAGATAACGTTCGTATTTATCTTATGAGTAATCGTTATTTGTGTGATAGCTGGTGATATCTGGCGGGTCTTTTAGTGATCGTATAACTTCTGAAGGTCTTGAACTTATTATATTCACACCAATTTTTTTTTGTCGAGACGATGGTTTATAGATATGTTTGAATTCTATAAGCGGCTGTAGTAATAAATATTTTGGTTTAACGCCTAAAAAGAAAATCATAGAATTCATGACACGATAGGTAGCGCTATGGTCGGGTTATGAATCAATTTTATATTGTTACTGTAAAAAGTCAGGAGTGACTTCGGAGTGAAACTCATCGCACCACCTACCGAAAATGCAGAACAACATCGGCCAGTGCAGCTAGCATGTTTATTCGTCTGCTATAGGTATTTGAAGGTTAATACTACTATAATCGTAGTATTAGTATCAAATATTATATTAGTAGAAAAGTTTTTTTTTCGCATAAACTAATGAGGAACTTAGCGAATGATTATTACGGCTATGATCCTTATTCTGTTTGCAGTCACGCAAACGTGAGTGCGTGGCAAGAATTTGTGTGTGAATATTTGTGGAAGAAATGAATGCAGCGTTCCATATTTGATCCTACTATGTGTATGTTATAGTTTCATTTCCTAACAAATTATGTTTTCATCTTACGTAGCCTCATCCGGTGAGCCAGGGTCCGCTGGCGCTGCCGCCACCGACGTCCGCGCCCGCTCCGAATTCCGCGCCGTGCGCCGCGCCGCGCACCATCGTCATCCAGCGCCCCGACGCGCGCCACGGATTCGGATTCACTTTGCGCCACCTTGTCGTCTATCCCCCGGAGTCACTGCAGGTGAGAGCAGCAATATATCTTTTGGAAGTCGTTTTCAGTGATTGTTAATATGACAACAGGAATTTATGATCAATCTTCTAAACTCAGAAGAGGTCGTATTCAGGAATAGATTGTTAATAGCTTCTATAACTACGGGTTGTCTTGTCAATTTCTCGAATCGAGTTTAAAATACAAATATATTGTAATTTTTTATTATTAACTTATGTTTTGATCACATATTTTGAATTCTCATTAAAATAATAACCTTAATATGGTGGCGCATCATGAAAGTTTAGAAAATTGAGTTTTCAGTAGACTCCGGCCTAATTTTATTTATCATATTGCTCTGGTTTTGCGCTTGCGCTTGGCAAGTGGGTTGGAACTGCAGTTTTCATTAATTTGTTATCAGGAAGATTTTACTATCCAGCTCCTGTTTCATTTGCCTCTAACGACCTCTACTAGATGATTGGGCAGGTGGATTCCTTTACGCTGTCACTGGACGGCTCCCTGAATACGAGCGTGAATAGCAACACTATACTGCCTTATTTGTATGATTAATGGCGGGAACCGAAGACGTTTTACTGGTATTGTGCGAACACGCATCGTGCTTTTTGATTGCTAATAGATATTTATACGTCGTAGAGCCATGCTGCAGTTATATTAGTAGTATAGTTGTAGCACGAATGGGTCGACTCGACCGTGGAAGGACCACGCTTTCACAAAATACCAGCGTAAATTAGCAGCTTAATGCTGCTGTGTTTCATATAGTGAGTGTAGAGAACCGGAGACCCTTTTTACTAGAAACGAGGCATTCCATCTTAGTCCTCACGGGTGACAACGCATCTGCATTTTGATTCATAATCGAGGATTGATTACGAATCAAATTGATATCTATGGTCCACAGTCACCACTTACCATGGGGTGGACTGTGTGTTCGTTTGTCAGCCTAACCTTAAAAAAATCTACTTCCAATGAGGTGGATTGTGAGCCTTACTCATCCTTATTTGTAGAAAGTTAGAAACAACCAAACGTGCTATGAATTATCTTAACTCGTGACAAGCTTGGTTTTTAGATTTAACTTTCAACCTTTCTCTAGTTTTACACTTATTCCTATACCGAGTGTTTGTAAATTCCGCAGCTGAAATATTTCACATGTTTAACGGACAGGTATTAACGATCCTTTTCCGGTGCTCTATTGAGAACACTTTGGCAATCAAGACTTCCTTTCCAACCCACATCGTATAAACAATGAATTGTTTAAAAATGCGCAAGCTGTAAATTTGAGAGCGCTGTTATTGCTTGTGCACTTCGGATATTAGTTTTATATATATGGCTGGATATTTCGTCAGAAGCAGAGTCGACTTTAAAGTAGGTTTCAAAATAGTTGTTCGGTAGAGTTTCTTTAAATCTTTCAACGAAAACGTATTCTATATATCAAAGTGCAATAGTTAGACTCCTTCTTTCTCCATAACCCTCTCAGAAGTGAGAAAAGGCCGGTGCCCAAGAGTTCAATGCATGTAGACTTCTTCTTCTTTACCAGCTCCTAGTTATTCATTGCTGAATATAAGATAGAGGTATCATATACAAGCTACTTATGGCTATATATGGCATACAAGAAATTATATATAAAACTTTAACAGCGAGTTCTGTGTGCAGGTATTTTTTATTGGTATTTTTTAAACCGTTCGTAACCCTTTTATTGGAATTTTCTTCTATATCGTGGTTCGTTTTACACATTTATGTGTGTAATACGAACCGAATCAGTCACGGAATAACTGTTAGTATATCATATATACACTGGAGTAGTATTTGTATGGCATACTAACGTCAAATGCTTTACCAACCCACCGCGTTACCGAGCGAAGAACTGCCATACAAGATATCGCGTAAGTAAAAGAGAGAGAGAGAAAGAGAGAGAGAGAGAGACAGAGAGAGACAGAGACAGAGAGTGTGTGAGAGATAGAGTTCTTATACTTATACCGATAATTTTTGGTGTGAGTCAGGAGCTGTACGAGGATGCGCGGCACCTGGCCGTGGGCGCGGTGGGCGCGCCAATGGACACGATCTTCGTGAGGTCCGTGCGGCCGGGCGGGCCGGCGGCGGCAGCCGGGTTGCGGGCCGGCGACCGCGTGCTGGCCGTCAACGGCGAGCCAGTGGCGTGCGGCCGCTCGCGCGCGCCCTACGCTCGCGTCGTGCAGCTGGCGCAGCGCGAGCCGCGCACCTTGCGACTCACTGTCGTGCCGCGCGACCACGACCTGTTGCAGAGGGTAAGTACCACTGCCTCAACATCACTTTGAGAGATACTAAACTCAGATTCACATTGCGTTGAACACTTCCTTGCACGTGCGTCCTACGCTCGCGAACCGCCTACATTACGCCTCACCGTCGAGCCGCGCGACCACGACTTACTGCAGAGGGTGAGTGCCATTCCCTTAAAGGCACTTCCAGGGATTCTTAGCGAGGATACACATTGCGTTGAATACTTCTAGCGCATGCGAGCTACGCTCTCGTCGTTCAGCTAGCGTAACGCAAGCCGTACATCTTGCGCCTCACCGTCGTACGGCGCAACCACGACTTTGCTGCAGACGGTTTGTACTTTCTCAAAGGCACTTTCAGAAATTCTTGACGTAGGTTCACGTTGGGTTGAATACTCCCTTGCCTCCAAAAAATGATAGATACTATGATTTCTTCGTTGCGTCTTGAATTTTATATTTAAATGTGATCTACCACATTGTATTTGTGTTATGACTGCACTATGAATGGGTTGGTTCGATCGGGGAAGACCACACTCTCACAGAATAGCAGCGTAAAATAGCAGAATATAAATATTTTACGCATCGTGTTTCCTTAGATGAGAATAAAGACTGAAACAGTCTCACCCTTTTTATTGGTGACATTTTGCGCTGCATCTTTTTATCCTCAAAGTTTGCAACGCATCTGTGTTTTAAGTCTTAATGAAGAATCACACACAGCATTTACTTATTATCAGGTGAACTATGTCTACCTTTGTCCCATTTAATTCTATCCAAAAAAATTATTCCATGGCCAATGAATACTTCTTTGACTTTTTCTGTCACCTTAACGTCGCCATTTTGGAATAAGGTGAAATATTTGACAGATATGAAAGAGATTATTTGAATTGTTTGGAATATATATTTTATATTTAAACACTGCAATAAAGACGAATTATGGCGTTTAAAAACGCATCTGTGTAAGTAAACAATACATTCCTAAAAATTAAAACAAGTAAAACAACAGATTATTTGAATTGTTTGAACAAAATGTGCAAAAAAATTTGAAGCATTGTTTATGTATGTATATAGAACACTAAAACTGTAAAGACCGGTAAATTTTTATTTGAAACAAGTTTTTACTGATGGTGACAATATGTAACAATAATAACTTCACCTCAGCTCCGACTAATGACATCTGGTAAGCGAAAAAATTATTATTTTGAAATGTAAAAGTGTAACGGTGCCATTGACTTATATATTACTTTTTGAAATCATTGAACGGTGCCCTTTTCCTCCAGTACTTCAGCGAAGCCGCGTACAACCCAGAAACGAACCAGCGTCCGGACATGCCGGCGCCGGCGAGCGAGGCGGAGCCGCAGCGGCGGCCGCGCGCGTCGTTGCCCGCGCCCGCGCTCGCGCGCCGCGACGACCCGGAGTACGCGAGCGTCGCTTCACTGGCGCCCTCGCGGTACCTGGCCAACGCGCCACACTTCATGCTGCACGATGGGTGAGTCCTTTTACAATGGGTTATTTTTTTAGGCAACTTCAAAAAAGGAGAAGACTTACAATTCAACTGTATGTTTTTTTTGTGCTGTTGGCGATGTCTGTGTCACCTGTGACCCGATTTTGCTGATTTCTTTTAAGTATTATAAGCCATATAACATTTAGTAATTAACTATTATAAGATTGTTTTTGCGTGATAGACCCTCGATTGGGGAAGGACAACGCTCTCACATCACCAGCGTGTCACCAGCGTGAAATAGCAGTTTAATGCTACTGAGTTCCGTATAGTAAGTGCAGGGAACTGGAGAAACTTTTTACTGGAAACGAGACATTCGATCTAAGTCCTCAGACCATTTGCATTTTGATTCTTAATGGAGAATAAATGTAGACTAGAGACTATAGGCCCCAGTATTCACTTATTATCAGGTGGATTGTGTGGTCAGTCAATCTTATTCTATAAAAAAACCCAGTGCTTGACAACTATCCCAACTGATGGTAAGTCGTGATGTAGCCGAAGTTGGTAAAGCGCACTGACTTAGCTTAATAAAATCTTATTCACTTTTCATTGAAACCACTCTCATTGTAATCGGATGGAAAGTCAGATGCTCGCAAGTTATTCCACATAGACATTCCCACAACAAAAGGTTATACTGAAACCCTGCCTACCACTTTCAACTTCACAGTTAAAACTCCTTGTAATATACAATTCTACTACAAGATATGATAATTCTACTCGGTACAAAATAACGCCTATTACGTAATTTCGGTTCCCCTATCATATTGTAATGCCTGTTTATATATGTTCAGCTGTAAGCACAGATAACCCCCTAAGTTATAGAAAATATACTTTATGAAATTCACGATATCAGAGAGCTCTTGTTAATATCCTTGACTTTTCTGTAGGGGCATCTTCTATACAATATGTTAACGTACACAAGAAATATCACGATCATTTTTCTTCAACAAGTACCACTGTATATGTCGTATGTTAAATGTAACCTTTCGAATATTCGTTTCAAATTTCAGCAGGAGGGAATCCGACACCTCACTGCCGTCGTCCGCGGCCGAGAGCAAAGACAGCCTCGGTTCCTTCGACTCTAATTCGACCCTAACCGGCCGCGAGATTGACGACTCGATTATCCTGTCCCGAATACGAAAGAGTCTCGAGCAGAAGGAGGCATTCTTAAGACGTCCCAGCCAACCCACCGGTTGGGTCACGCCGGACACCCCGCAACCGATCAAGCAAAAGGAATTCTATGCGCGACCGCAAAAGTTACAGAAGCCAGCATGGCCCCCACCGCCTTCGTCACCGCCGCTTGCCGCCTCTCCACCCCCGTCACTTATCACACAAACGCAGAGTCAAGAACAGACCTCAAAAAAGGAAGAATGTTCCGCGAGCGTGGATAGCGGAACGTATAGTGGCTACGGCGAAGTAAACGGAACAACTGACAAAACTAAACCGAAACAGGATAAGAGTCAGTTTGTAACGACCTTGTCGAAAATACAAGAAACGGCACCGAGTATTCAGAGCACCCATGTCGGAACAGTACTTAATGGTGCTGCTTCTGAGACCACGAGCGAAAATAAAGAAGAGAGCGCGACATCAAATAACCAGGAGAGCAGCAGGTTTGTTTATTATGTTGGTTTATTCTAGTGAAATTCAACATTAAATTTAAATCGTCATCATCATCATCATTACAGCTCTTCACAAGTCCACTGCTGAACATAGACCTTCCCCAAGGTATGCCACAAAGCACGGTCCTTAGCCACCTGCATCCATCGACTTCCTGCATGTCTTACCAGGTCGTCACTCTATCTAGTGGGGGATCGCCCCACACTTCGCCTACCGGTACGAGGCTGCCACTCGAGAACCTTTTTTTCCCAACGGTTGTCGGTTCTTCGAGCTATATGGCCGGCCCATTGTCACTTCAGCTTACTAATCCGTTGGGCTATGTCGGTCACTCTGGTTCTATTGCGGATATCCTCATTTCTAAGTTTATCACGCAGAGAAACTCCGAGCATAGCCCTCTCCATAGCTCGCTGAGCGACTTTGAGCGTCCTCATACGGCCAGCAGTGAAGGACCACGTCTCGGTTCCGTAGGTCATCACTGGCAACACGCGCTGGTTGTACAACTTAGTTTTCAGGTTTTGAGGTATACCTGACGAGAAGATGCGTCGTAATTTCCCGAACGCTGCCCAGCCGAGTTGAATCCGTCGATTGACCTCTCGGTCGAAGTTGGACTTACCTAGTCGAACTATTTGTCCCAGGTAAACGTACTCGTTAACAACTTCGAGCATAGTGCTCCCAACAACTACCGGCGTAGGTGTGACATGGACATTAAACATGATCTTTGTTTTGTCCATGTTCATCTTAAGATCTATCCGTTGGGAGGCACTATTATATATTGAGCATAGTGGTTAAGTCCTCCAGCGATTCAGCCATAAGGACTATATCGTTGGCAAATCGAAGGTGAGTGATGTACTCGCCATTGATGTTAATACCGTATCCTTTCCGGTCCAGTAGCTTAAAAACGTCTTCCAATGCAGCGGTGAAGAGTTTCGGTGAAATAACGTCACCCTGTCTACACCTCTCTGCAGTTGGATAGGTTTCGTACTCTGGTTCTGTACTCGGATAGCCATCGTAGCCCTACTGTACAAACACTTCAGCACTTCGATATACCGACAGTCAACTTGACACCGCTGAAGAGACTGTAGCACGGCCTAAATTTCGACGGAATCAAAGGCTTTCTCATAGTCCACATACGCCAGGCAAAGTGGCAGATTGTACTCTTCGGACTTCTGTTACAATTTGCCGAAGGGTATGTATGTGGTCTATGGTACTAAATCCTTTTAGGAAACCGGCTTGTTTGTTTTTTGTATTGTCTGCGTGCGAGACGATTCGTAATGACTCTCAAAAACAGCACGTATACGCGGCTCAGAAGGAATATCGGTCTGTAGTTCTTCAAGAGGGCGTTGTCACCTTTCTTGCAGAACAAGACCACCGCACTTCTGCTCCACGCCTCCGGAGTAGTGCCACCATGGATGGTGGAATTAAAGAGCTTCTGAAGGACTTCAAGTGCCGGTTTTCCACCCGCTTTCAGATGCTCCGCTGTAATTCCAATCATGCCTGGGACCTTGCCGTTTTTAAGGTGTTGGAGAGCTATTCTAATCTCGCTCAGACTGACGTCCGGGATATCATCGGAATAGTGTCGGATAAGACTTGCTATGGATCGTTACTCACACTTGCGTGTGGCTCCAACGATGATGTGTACAGCTGCCCATAGAACCTCTCAATCTCACTCAGTATCTCAGGTGTCCCGGAAACGACGCTCGATCGCTTCTTCAATACGAGCAGTATTAAAGTTGCGTAAGTCTCGCCGCATGCATTTGAAGATCTGTCTGTTCATTTACCTGTATGCTGTCAAATCTGTTGACGATTGCAGCCTCATCTCCCGTCTAGCAGCCGTGAGATTAAGAGTGTGATCGGAGAGTTTTTGTGTTCTTCTGCGGCGGGTCTTGCAGAACTTAGCCCCGACCGCATGGACAGTTTCCACGAGCTTGTCATTCATATCGTCCACTGCATTGCAATATTCTAGGCACTGAAAGCGGTTATGTAACTTGAGCTGAAAAGTTTCGGGATTCTGGATCAGAGCACGAGGAGGACGGAGCGTTGACTTCATTAGACGAGGCCCCTCCAACTTAACGTTCAGGTTCAGTGTGCCTCTAACCATTCGATGATCGTTGCCAGTTTTCACCCTTGCGATCACTGAGACATCACTGAACAGTTGGCGTCTGGTCGTTATAATGGGGTCAATCTCATTTTTTGTCGAACCGTCGGGGCTCGACCAGGTCCACTTTCTGTGAGGCCGCTTCTGGAAGAAAGAGTTCATCATAAAGAGTCCCTCTTTCTCCATAAAATCGGCCAGCTCCTGGCCCCTACGGTTCCGTTGCCCTACTCCAAATTTCCCTAACTTCAGCTCAATGCTTTCTCTTGTGACTAGTTTTGCGTTGAAGTCTCCCATCAACACCGTGTAGTGGGTTTTGGAGGAATGCATGGCTCTGGAAATATCCTCATACATTTCCTCCACCTCCTCATCGGAATGTGCCGAGGTTGGTGTGTAAACTTGAATGACCTTCAGCGAATACCGTTTGGTGATTCTGAGTATCAGGTACGCGACCCTCGTCGACACACTCCTAATCTTTACAATGTTGTTGACGAGAGACTTGAAGACGATAAATCCGACACCTCCTTGGGACAGATGGTCGCCCTTCCGGTGATAGAACAAGTTGCCGGTCTCGAGGATTACCGTGTCCTCCCCCTCTCTTCGGACCTCCGATAATCCAATAATATACCAGCGCAACTTGTCTACCTCTTCTTCCAGCTCCAGTATATTCTCGTCAGTCTTCAGGGTGCGTGCGTTATATGTTGCCAGGTCGAGTCGTCGTAGGTGGCAACCGAACCTCCACCGGAGATTCTTAGCACCCCCTGCCCCGCCGTTACCATGGTCGCCACCGTAGTCAGGAATAGCGGGGACGCCGGGGACTGGGGGCCGTTTGTTTGCGTCGTTCCTCATGGGGGGATATTTGCCGTAGTTGCCACGCTTGGCGAGCGGGTTGGCAACCGCAATTTTTTATTATACTATTGTTGTTATTAGGAAGATGCTGCTGCCCATCTCCTGCCTGTCTCCCTCTGTCGCCTCTTACGACACCCACGGAAAGATATGGGGTAGTGGATATTCTCTACCGCCACTACACGGCATAAATTTAAATATTTGCATTTAAACATTTCCTTAGAAAGGGCTCCAGTTTTTAAAATAATGAATATGACAGAACTTCAGAGTTACTTAAGCTATTACTTCTTAACTCAAACACCACATTGCCAAAATTTGAGTCTTGACCATATAATATTAAGTTACAAATATGAACGGCATGAAGCTGGATATCGATCTTACACTCTTTTAAATAAAACAGTTTTTACTTATTTTATCGCGTATATTAACTTATTTTATATGTCCGACGTTTCGAGTTCTTTACAGCACCCATGGTCACGGAGAGGGGGGGGGGGGGGAGAGATAAAATCTGTAAAAACTGGTTGTATTTAAATATTTAGTGTTCGAGTAAATATAAGAAATGATTACGTCTTACACTCGTCGTATTACGATTAAGATATAATTTTGGTCCTCTGATCACTGGATTAATAGAATCGGTATTAGTTAACGGTATGGGGGGAAACTAATAGATTGCCAGTAGATTTCAAACATTATTTAAGGTTATTCACATTTCTTCTACCAGGCGGTGCCTCTTAAGAATGAGGTAAAATATGTGACACATTTCATAAATATAGATGGACAATTTGTTAGATAAATGTAGAGGTTAATAGTTATTTTTGAAATATTACTTATATTTTACATTAACTAGATTAGAAATGGATAAACCAAACTCGTCCGTTGGATACAAGCTTACGCACAAACCTCGCCTCATCCCAATGAGGAGGTGGAGGAAATGTATAAGTAATCTCTAGCCATGCATTTCTCCAAAACTCACTATACGGTATTAATGGGGGACTTGAACGCAAAATTAGGCACAAAAGAGTGAGCTGAAGGTTGGCAATTTTGGGATAGGGCAATGGAACCCAAGGGGCTAAGGAACTCTTTATGATGAACTCTTTCTTTCAGAAGTAACCACACAGAAAGTGGACCTGGTCGAACCTCGACAATTCGATAAAAAAATGAGATTAACTTCATTATGATGACTAGACGGCAACAGTTCAGCGATGTCTCAGGGATCGCGAGGGTGAAAACTGGCAACGATCACCGAAAAGTGAGACACAACGTCAGCGACCCGTCACCCTCTTGCTCTAATTGAAAGCCCCAAGTAATTTTAGATCTATACAAAACCGTGTTTAGTGGCTAGAAGACGGCAATACAGTGGACTATATGAATGACAGTCTGGTGGAAACTGTCTATTCGGTCGGTGCTAAGTTCTGAAGATCTGTCGCAAAAAAACCTAAAACCACTCCAATCACACTCTTAATCTCATGGTTGTTAGACGGGAAATGATACGGCAGTCTTCAGCAGATGTGACAGCTTACAGGCAACTAAACAGACAGATCTCCAAATGCATGTGGCAGGACTTACGCAACTTCAATACAGCTCGTATTAAAGAAGAAATTAAGGAGGACAAAGGCTCCGAATTCTTTGCCAGAGATCTGTCTGCCAGAAAGAGCTAGCTGTCAAAGCTGAAGACCGAATGTGCCTGTAGTATCGTTTCCGCGAAATCTGAGATTTTCAGTGGGATTGAGGTGTCTTATGGACATCGAGATTGAAGCCACATGCAAAGTAATGATCCATGAGTAAGTCTTATCCGACACTATTCCGATGAAATCCCGAATGTCAGTCTGAGCGAAATTAAAATGACTTTTTAGCACCTTTAAAACAACAAAGTCTTGATAAAGCGTATGTAAAACCAATACTTGAAGTCGTTCGGAGGCTTATTCATTCCGTCCTCCACGGTGACACTACTCCGTTATAGACGTGCACTGGTATTGTTCTATAAAAAAGCGGCAACGTTCTGTTGAAGAACTACGCACCGATCTCTTCTGAGCCGCGTCTACATGCCGTTTTCAAGAGTAATTACTCGACTGACTCTGACTGACGACTGACTGACGACTCGGTGACTTCCAGCCTTCCGGTTTCCGAAAAGGCTTTAGTATCATAGACCTCACACATCCCATTCGGCAAATTGTACAGAAGACCGAAGAGTACCATCTGCCACTTTGCCTTGCGTATGTTGACTACGAGAAAGCCTTTGATTTTGTCGATGTTTTGGCGGTGCTACAGTCCCTTCAGCAGTGCCAATTCGACTATCGAAGTGCTGAAGGTTTTGTACGGTATGGCTACGACGGCTATCTGAGTACAACAGAATCAGAGTATGAAACCCAATCAAATGCAGAGAGGTGCAAGACAGGGTGACGTTATATTCCCACCTCATTGGAAGGCGTTTTCAAGCTACTGGACTGGAAAGGATATGGTATTAATATCAAAGGCGAGTACATCACTCACCTTCGATATGTCGACGATATTGTGGCGGCGCTGTCGTCGCATGGCAAGCGAAACACGCCGAAGCCTAAATCACGCTATCAAAATTCCGAATCATAAACAGTATATATGAAAACACCCGGCCCGACCACCCCCACCCCCCCCGTATCCTTCTCAACCCCACCACCCCCCAAACCCCCCGCCCCCCCCCCAAAAAAAAAAACCCTCTCCCCCCACTCCCCCCTCACACCGCGCACCCCCCCCCCCCCCCCCCCCCCCCCTCCTCCAGAACATCTCTGAACTATCACACGGAGTGTTGGCCGCTCCCCGGGCAGAACACTTTGCTCGGCGGGAGATCTCCCCTTTTCCTTCCACAGCCACAATATATTCCTTATGGTAGAAGCGCTGCAGGACCTAATGACTTCAATAGTGCCTCCCAACAGATAGGTCTTAAGATGAACATGGACAAAACAAAGATCATATGTAGCGTCTGTGTCACACCTATCTCGGTAGTTTTTGGAAGCACTAACGTCGAAGTTGTTGACGAGTTTGTTTACCTGGGACAAAAATTCCGACTAGGTAAGTCCAACTTCGACCAAAAAGTTAATTGACGTATTCAACTCGGCTAGGCAGCGTTCGGGAAATGACGACACATCTACTCGTTAGGTGTACCACAAAATTTTAAAACGAGATTATACAACCAGTGGGTTTTGGCAGTGTTTATTTATTGATCTGAAACGTGGTTCTTTACTGAAGCTTATTAAGAAGCGCTTTATGCCAAACCCGATCGAAGGCCTTCGCTATGTCCAAACTAACGGCCAACGCCTCCCCCTTGGACTCTACTGCCTCCGCCCATTTATGAGTTAGGTAACCCAGAGAATCACCAGCCGAGCGACCGCGACGGAAACCGTACTGGCGGTCACTAATCAGCTGGTGATCTTCATAGTACAGCATGAGCTGGCTGTTAATAATTGATTCCATTATTTTAGAGAACAAGGAGGTGATGGCGATAGGCCTATAGTTGGTCGGATCAGAGCGGTTGCCTTTTTTAGGGATCGGGTGCACGAGGGTTGTCTTACATGATTTCAGGACTACGCCGAGGAAGTAGGAGCACCAGAAAAGTCGCGTTAAAATTGGTGCCGGAGCACTCGTCTTCATCACAATAGGAGGGACATCATCCGGCCCACTCGACTTGTTGACGTCTAGCGAGAGGAGTGCTCTACGCACTGAGTGAGTGCGAGTAAACAGGAAATCCTGCATGGAGCACCGACTCCGCGGGATGTTCGGCGGTATGTTGCCCCCGTCGTAAAGAGTCGAGTTCGACACAAAGAGAGAGCCCATCAGATCGGCTTTGTCCTTTACGGCATGGGCCAGTGAGTCGTCCCCCCTGTGCAGAGATGGCTGAAGTTCCCTTGGACAGCCTTGGCGAGAGACCAGAATGCACGTGTCCCCGAAGGAAGACGAACTAGTTTCTTGCCAATATTCTGCCGTTGTGTTCTGAATTTGCCTTCACAATGACACTTTTGAAGGACCTGGAGGCAGAATTGTACTTCTTTTTAAGAGCGCTGGTATTTGCATCCCGAGACATCGATGCGCGAGCCCAGGCCTGGTAGTACTCCTGCTTATGATGTAGTGCAATTTTGCAGGAGCGACCAAACCAAGTCTAGGTTCTGCCTCCGATAGGTACCGCAGATGATGGAGTAAAAAGTTCCATTTCATGTAGCACGACATCAGCGACAGAATCGGCAACAACGCTGGGTCATCCGGCGAGAAGCAAACCTGCCTCCAAGGATAGAATGCAAAAAAGAATCTGCTGACCTATAATGTCAAACACGGCGGCAACCTGCAGTACGCAACCGCGATGAGAGCCTGAGCACCGTACTCTGGATCAGACAATGGTCCGAGGAGCCTAGAGGGACATCGACGGAGACCTGATATCTGTCCGGATGACAGGTGAAGTGGGAGTGGCAGGTTAATGCCGGCAGACGAAGTGTTTGGCGGTCTACAGCTAGATGGAGTAACGACCTGATAGGACATGCATGCAGTCGATGGTTGCAAGTGGAATCGGAATTAAGGCATTGTTTTGTAATATTGGCTTATACACTGGAAATCGTAAAATATATTTTATTAAATCGCAACATTTCAATAATGATGAGACTGTGTGACTCAGTCTCAACTAGCGACATGAGACGTGACGTTGTGTGCAGGTACCGCGGCGCGGAGCTACAGCTGGTGACGGCGCGCACGCGGCAGCTGGAGGAGGCGCGCGGCGGCGAACGCCGCACAGAGGTGGCGCGCAGCGAGCTGGCGCGCCTTTCCAGCGCGCGCCTCGAGCCCAGCGTGGCGCTGCGCCGACGCGACTTTGAGAGCCGCGCCGCGCGCCGCACCGCGCGCTCGCTCGATGTCCACCCGCACACAGGTTACGTTTTTTTTTTATAGAAGAGGGTGCAAACGAGCATGCGGCTCACCTGATGTTAAGTGACTACCGCCGCCCATGATCAACCGCAACACCAGGGGAATTGCAGGTGCGTTGCCGGCCCTTTAGAAAGGGGTGAGCTCTCTTCTTGAAGGTCCCCAGGTCGTATCGGTCCAGAAAAATCGCCGGTGGTAAACTATTCCACAGAGAGCTCGTACTTGGAAGAAAACTCCTTGTGAAACGTAGAGTGGTGGACCGCCAAACATCCAGATGGTGTGGTGGTATCGCGACGTTTGCCGCGTAGTGCGTTCACGAAATTTGGCGGCTGGGATTAATCCGAACAATTCCTCAGAGTACTACTCCCCATGGTATATGCGAAATACGTGACGCGCTCTACACACAATTGCACTAGCTGCACCAACGTTTCTTTGGGTTCCTCTGGTTCATCACACCAATATACAATTTTTATTTTCGGACTCTATTATTGCTTACGATATATCCTTTTTAAAATTCATATTTTTAACTAAATACCTCTCTTTTCACAGAATTAGAACATGAAACTATAACCCTCGGTAGCAGTCTGTCAGGAAACCAGTTGATGATCACAGGAAGCAAACACCTGCATTGCCCTCCTCCAGAAGAATATGTGCCCGGTAAGCACTATATTATTTGTAGGGAGATTTTAGTTAGATCATACTACATTTATATATCATTTTTATTATAGCTTTACCTTTTTTAATTTATTTTTTTATTTTTACAGAAACAGAAAAAGTTCAGATGCGAACTAGGTCAAATAGCACCGGAAGCGAAGGATTACCCATTAGAAGACATCATGCCACAGGTAAAATAATATAACTTTATTTTGTTTCTTTTAAATTATTTATGTATGTATTATTGCGTTTTTATATATTTATCTATTTTGTGGTTTGCGTTATACGTATATTTTATTAAAATGCCTAGGTAAGTTATTATTGGATCCTGATAAAATCATATTTGACACGTGCTTTGCTGCATTTTCACAATTTTACAAAAGGAAACGAATATTTTTATACAACATTAGTTTAAGAAACGCTTATGGTGCCAAAAATATTTAGGTACAGTTTACTGACAGATTACGTTTTTAATGATATTTTTGACTGTGATACGACTGCAAATAGTTATTGCTTTTATTTATGCACCAGTCGTTTTATTTTCATTGTTATCATGCAGTTCTGGTAATCTCTAGTTTATTTTTAGCAAAGCAATTTTTTTGTCAAACAAATATTTTATTTCTATAATACTGGCTCTCACAATGAACCTTAGAGTGCTCCCAGACTGTTGTTGTAAAGTTATAACTCTTGAACTGTTATTCTTACATCGTCTATACATCTAAAATACGCTTGATACGAGTAAGATATGTGTCAATTCACGTAATTTGTCTTAAGAAAACAATTATTAAATAACTGTAAATTAGTTATCACCACTGATTTGATTCGGGTCTACTGTCGGTTTTTTCGCGATAAAACGTAATCTATTGGTGATAAGTCTAGCACGAAGCTCGCTTCACGGCTACGTTCTTAGCCGTTGAAGATGTAACAAATGCTACTGACGCAGCCGCTTATCTAACGGCACTGTTACGCCCCCCCAAAGATGGCAGTCACGCGAAGCGACGTATGGGGCTGAACAGGGAGCAAATGGAAGAGATGAACCGCGTGTCGCTGGGCGGCGCGGGGGCGGGCGGGGCGGCGCGCCCCACGCACTTGAGCCTGGCGCCGCGCTCCGACTCCACGTCGGCTGCCACCTCGCCCTCGCCGACGCCCAGCACGCCCCACGACTCAGGTCCCACGCGATGGCCCATTTTTGTACGCTCCCAGTCCCGGCAACTCCCTCCTGCCTAACTCCGTTGTCCCTATTAGTTATTTTATTATTTACCCTAATAACCCCTATTTGTTTACCTTTATCCCCTTTGACGCAAATCGAGCTGTTGCTTTTTTAACTTTTAAAACGAATCCATTAACTAATAACGTATCGGCTTACATTATATTACTCTGTTTTCATCTGTTTACACAATAAATGTAACATATTCGAAATTACATTCAGAATTAATGTCATCAAATATTCGTACAATGCGATTCAAATAAGAATAGGAACGTCAGTGACCTCGAATGACCGCGATCTGTCAAGTGTCACTCGAAATGTACGGCTTGCAAAGAAATTGAATTTTCACTTTTATATTTATTTAACTGAGTCTTAGTATTACCAAATCCATCTGAGCCATAATTAGTTTTAAAAATAATTTGACGTTGTTTCAATTTCTATTTTCATATTTGACAACATTTTGCCAAAAAGTCAATTAATAAATTAAATAGATTAATTACATAAAAAATAAAAAAGATATTTAATAAATTAAATTAATTATATAAGTTCTAGATTCCGTTTAAAACGTTCTCTTTCATAGTTCTTTTGTATTTATTTGTAAATAAATATTATTTCAAAAATATCTTTATTATCAAAAATATCTTTTTTGCTCACCCTTCTAACTAGTTTGGAGAAACATCCATGACGTCACAATATGGTGCCAGATCGTTCCAATTCTTATTCGAATCGCATTGTACTTAAACATTTAATTTTCACTGTTAACAGTACTACTAACGTTCATAAAAAATTACATGTACAAAATCTGCTTTCATAATACCGTAATTAACTCGATTTGCATCAACACTTCAAATGAACTCCTTCGTAACACTTGTGATCCTACCTCTGGAGCGTTATGACATGAACTATCTTTCGCTAATCTCGGCCATATTAACGGAATGCATTTTGTGTGCTTCTAGGTGTGCTACTAATTACAACTAACCTTGCGTGTATATTCGGTGTTAATTGTATTAACAACTTATTATTACTACCAATCTCTGTTAGGAAGCTTTAACAAACGATTCTTCGACAGGTTTTGCTGACGATCTGGTAACAAGAAGACAGAAGAAGGATGCTCAACTGGGCGGTCAGTACAACGTCTTTGTTATTATTATTGTGAAGTATTAATAGTGTTCTTATCTGGTTAAGTTGTGTAAATATATAAAACTAAATAATAAATATACAAAAATATTCATTAACTATAGTAAAATAAATAAATAAATACTCGTATCGTATGATTTATTAACTTATTGTTTATTACATTCAATGAACAACGATATGTATTTATTTAAATAGAAGAAGAACGTGCCATGCGAAGGGTGTCGTACCTGAAAGCTACATGGGGAGACAGGCTGCACTTAGACAGCGATGTGGAACAAGACTCTGAACATCTCTCTCAAAGAAGGTATAAAACCGAATCTATTGTTACATGAAGCATCGACACCTGTTTCTTTCAACCACTGGTCTTTTATATATTCCACTTTCGATCAATCTGAACGCACTATTGCGCGGCAATATTTAGACAAACATTTTTGATTAAGTTATACAGTGGTAGAAACAAACAGATATTTGAGATTTCTATTTATACTTGTAAAGTAGATTTGTTAGTTAACTTTGAAATTTATAATATAAATTTAACATTGTTAGCATCTGTATGCAGATTAAAATAAGCATATGACTTTCCCCAACTACTATCCTTATTTTATATTTTATGTGTTGTAGATAGACTCCAAAATACATTTGTTTAGTTAGTATGTAACCTTACATTTATGTCTACATCTAACATTTGTTTTGTTCACATCAAACGTTTCCTATCTCGTAAAAATATTAAAATTTAATGGACACATGAAATTGGACTTGATATTGTTATGGTTTGTAACAAACGCAGTGCATATCGCAAGTGGCGCCCTCCTCGTTTCACGGACGACATAACGCCGCTGCTGCGAATATTCGACCCCAATGCAACACTCCCCGCCCGGTATGTTGCATGGCGTCGCTGCTAGATGGCGCTTAAGGGTGTGCAATAAAATTTTACTGCATAACAGATGGAGCTATTAACGATTAAGCGTAGAAAAAACCGAGCAAAAATTTTAATGACAAATTTTTATAATTTAATCCTAAAGAGCCTTGTAAACTTGTGAATTATATGCTCTTTGGAGTCTTGTATTGCATTTGCCTTCATTGTACCCCTTTTAACATCACAAATTCATATATGCAAAATATTGTTACTGGAACAGAATTTCTGCTTATTTTAAATAAAGTTTAAAATTCCATCACAATTTTTTAAATAAGACTGAAGATTTTTGTGTATTAATTTTTGTAAATTGCATGCAATAATGATTTATGAGCATTTTTGCATTAAGTGTGTCATGATATGCTCTAGGCTCTAGCGTACGTTTGTGGCATGTTTGTTGTTTGTTGTCTGTTGTATTCATTAAGATAAATATTTTGGTTCTGCTAATAATTTTAGAAATGTAATGCTGTTTTATAAGAATATACATTAGCTAGCTGCAGTAAGTATCCTATTTTAAGAATTATAAATGTATTTATCTTTTTTTAAAGGTTGAATTATAGGTAAGGTATGTAGAATAATTCTTTACGCGTGATTATTCTAATATTTTTATTATATTTCAATGCTTGTTATTTATCAACAAGTTTCGTAAAGAATTAGGACACCGTATAGAAAAATGAGATGTTTAGTGGCGATGTAAAAGAATCGACCACCGCATGTCGCATAAGTGTGTCGTGAGTGGTAACGGAGGGAAATGAAACAGGGGATCGGCTGCAATATCTTCCTGATAGCAACTCAAAATATCCTATGCATAATTAATAAAATTGCTGTTGCCAACCTACTTGCCAAGCGTCGTAACTATGCCTATTATCCTCACTATCAGACAATTTCTAGGAGGTTTATGTTCAGCAGTATGAATGATAGAAAATCAGTCAAGATAGTGAAATCAGTGACAATACTATCGCACTTGCACTGGTATTGTGTGTGCACTTGCACTACTTATGTAACAACAGTATACTATATTTTGGGTTGGAAATATTTGAATGAATTATGTTATGTTATCACTGATTGAAATGTAGGGAAAATTACAAACATACATCTAAGGCACTCGCTGAAGGTTTTCCGTGCTTGCCACTAGCGTCACTTCGATCGATGCGTGACGTCATATATATATACATACATTTTTTCATTATTCATTACAATTGCTAATAGGCTTAGTAATTGAAACTGTCATAATATAATGAATATTGCTATGGTCATTGTTTTGACGTTACAACAAAGATGTCCCCAAGATTAACTGAGTGCATCATACTAAGGCGATATTTTATGCTATAGTGCGGAGAAGCAGGGAGAGGACGGTGCGGAGGAGGGCGCGAGCGAAGCCGAGCCCGATGTGCAGGGACACGTGCAGGTCAAGATGGTGGTCAGCAACGGAAAGGTACGTGTTTTCTTAATTGCATTTTACTAGTAAGATACCAATATTTTTACTTAAACCAAAACCTTTGAAAAGTACTAACTTAATGATCTACGTGGTTTTAATTTTTGTTTGATCTTATCTTAGTAGTTAATATTTTATAGAACGTTGAAAAGAGCGAGTGGCTAGAAGTGGATAAAATGACGGGGTGGATATTTTTTAGTGTAAATTAATATTTAGAGTGATTGTCTAAAACAAGACGTACTGTCCACAGCGCGCCAGCGACAGATCGTGGAAACAAGTGTGGGCGGTTCTGCACGGGACCAAGCTATACCTATATAGGCACCATCCTAGTCAGGTAAGTCGTATTAATTTATTCTTAACTTACCGTACATCGATATCGTTGGGTTACTGCCAAAGACTATTATATTCTCTATGGTTACTGCACATTAAGCTACTTTATACACAGGTACTTACCTATAATCGTTGTTTATCGCTTGCTTAAATTAAGTATTAATTATTTAGATAATTTTTCGTTGTGTATTCAGTGAAAAAAGAGAAAAAGAGCAATATTAAACATTTCTTAAAGGAGACAATAATTTTTGGGTACACTAGAAATTTTAACGTAGTTTAAGCTTTTACACATTAAAAAGATACCAATTTAGTACTATAGTAAATTGGCTAAAGATTTTATGAAAATCTAACCGGAATCATGATAAATATTACAATTAAGAATTAATACATATAACCGCCGTCTGTTTATTCGTGAACTGTTTTCTCCAGAACTACTAAATATATTCTTTTAGTAGTTCCGAAGAATCCACCAAGTAATATTTTAGATTTTGAAGAGCCTACAACTTTATACTTTTTTTTATTGCACAGTGCAACAGTGCACTATTATAAATTATAATATGGAATATAGATAAAAACTACTAGACAGTCGCAAAGATTTTAGGTTATAGTGAAATTACCGTTAATTTATCAGTATTCCTGTTAGATATGGTAAAACTAATGTTACTATTGTAATCTAGTAATTATAAGGAATAAATCGACGTGCTTTTCATTATGTTACGTTACAATTTGTGGGCTCTTTCTCCATACAAAAGCAATTGGTCGCCTTTATGTTGATTTTTATGAGTCTAAATGCCCGACTGCAGTGATGTAACTAATTATTACATGATGTATTTCATTTATAATTATACGGTTTATTTAGAATCTACATAATAATAACTTCTTGAGATATTTAACACGATATACTTGCTTATTTTTTATATGACCTTTCTGCTGGCTTAATGTAATTTACGTTATCTGTGCCCAATGCATGGATAAATGAATTTATGGGGTAAAAACTTTTACAAAGTTTAATTTTAATAGATATAAATTGTGTATGTTTTGTAATTAGTAAAATGCTAGATTTGACCTTTATATCACAGGTACAGTTTTAAACGCTGTACAAAGTAACACATTGAATTATGCTGTAAATGTGGACCTTACTGCTATTGTTATACGGAATGTTGATGATATTTGGTAAAGAGGAAATGTTTGTTTAAAGAATATTTGTATTCGTTGTATTATTACAAAGTGTGTGCAAATATTTTTAACACGGCACTTAGCGCATGATGTAACCGTATTAGTGGAATTCACGAAAAGTTTGTTTTATTTGATTATATTGTTGCTAGGTCTGGTACACAGAAACATTGCTAATATTTGTGTATTACGCCTTTACGGTGTTTCAATATAGGTTATTTGACACATTATTTAATAATACTATTTGCCATACAACGCAAGTTAATACAAATAAATACTAATTTAGCGATCTTATATGCCTAATGAATAACAAATCCCGAACTTGAAGGCTATTCTAAGTGAATATAATTACTGTAGAAATATAATGCCTTAGCGTTAAAATTCATCACGCGTAAACCGAACTATATAGTGTCTTGCGTATCATAGATTTTTAAAATCTCTTTCTAGAATTTTCTTTTTGGTGTTTTATTATAATCCCTCTTGTCTCATCAAAGTGAATTTACATTGGATCGCGCAAAATAAGACTTAGAGTGGATTTCAAAGTACTGTGTATGTCATATACATCCTAAGTTCTAACCAAAGGATCAAACCTCTGAATCTCGACGTATAATCCCGTTGTCATATAAAAACATCATGACTTCTTATATTTACTCGAACTCTACACATTGATTAGAACTACTATTACGAATTATATCGCGTTTAATTTTAAATGATTTTTAATTCCCGAATTTTCGGGTGCTTTCCTGCACCCATTTTTTCACTGGGTACTGAAAAAAAAATCATTTAAAATTAAACTCGATAAAATCCGTAAAAGTAGTTTTAATCAAGGAGTACATCACTATACTTTACACCCTATTTTGACTTTTCATTGAATTACCCACCGAATAACTTACCCACGTTTAAAAATATCAACAGCCAAAATTACCCTCATGCTTAGAAGTTCTAATAGATCCTGTAACAAGATGATAACGAATAACTTTCCGCCCGCACGCTAAAGGCACACCTGGCTTCCTTTGCGCGCTTGATAGTCTCCATGTCTATGCAAAATTAGGGTAACCAATATTAAAAAGAGACAGATATTAAAAGGGATTTGTAAATCTTATTTTGCTATGGCTATATTTTTTCGTATTTTTCTTGATGTCTCAAAAACTGGCACATCGATTCTGTATAATTTGTTCCATTATTCTACTGTCTCGTTAGGCTTTTTTACGTGGTAGAGCCACGCTGCTATATTATGGTTGTAGCATGAATGGGTCGGTTCGACCGGGGAAGGAGACCACGCTCTCACAGTAAACTAGCGTAAAATAGCAGCTTAATGCTGCTGTGTTTCGTATGGTGAGTGTAGAGAACCGGAGACCCTTTTTACTGGCATTGAGGCATTTCATCTTAGTCCTTAGGGGTGACAACGCACCTGCATTTTGATTCTTAATCAAAATGTAGATGTCTATGGGCCACAGCATCCACTTCCCATCAGGTGGACTGTGTGCTCGTTTGTCACCCTTATCGTATAAAAAAGGCTAGCTGATGTTGTGTAATCCCAACTTCTCGGATCAGGCCAAAATCATTTATTAGGTTTTCCTGTGGAAAATTTCTAAGTAGCAGCCGGGAGTCAGAAAGTTGGCGGGGTTTCACTCCCATACCTCGAAAAGAACTTAAAACCGGTGGTCCTGCCCTTATCTCTTGTCAGTCCTTTAAGAGTACAAGAGTAAGGGAATAGGGAGTGTCTCTGTGCATACACTTGTGCACTATAATCCTGTACTGCACAGTCTCCACGGAGACTAGTCGTAATGACCGAAATTCGGCCTGGATGACATTAGTTAACCATTGATTGATTATTATTATAATTTTATAAAATATCAACGTAAGTTTCATCTATTCGATCTTTGAAATTAAAAACTTAAGTCTTATTAAATTACTTCATCGCCTTCATCAGTCCGCAGCAATTACTGCTGGGCATAGGTCTCGTTTAAAGCATGGAGTCCACTTTTCGATTGGACCACTTAAATACCACGCAAATATAATTGGACTTAATTTCAAAGCTTCTTAAAAATTGGTAATTGTTGTCGAGAAATCTAGACGACTATTTTTTTTTTGATGAATGTACATGAGTAACAAAAAATAACTTGAGTATCGTAAAAAAAGCTAAAAAAAAACTTTATATATTATTAAATATATACAGGTTGACAGTCATAATCGTGTAGTTTAGGTTTTAATTTAATTAAAAAAGCAAAAAATTTTGGATAGCATAACAGCAGTAGTTTGGTCAACTGTAAATGTAACGGACTATACCGCGAGCCGCGACATGCGTCAGTGCGAACACCTGGCTATCTCATATTATATATCAAATTTAATACGTTAACTAAGACATTAAAATAAATTGCATAAAAGTTTTTGGATGATATGAAAATTTTAATTTATTCGCATTTGCAACACCTGGTTGTAAAAGTAGCTAAGCGAATGTTGTTTGTTTTAATAATTCGATTAAAATTGATACATTTATACATTTAATCTATAATTACAATTTAAGTTCATTGTCACGTATCAAAGTACTCTTACTGTTAATTCAGACGTTACTTTGGAAGTAGTGATTGATAGAGATGGGACGGGTACCCGGTGTGGATCCGGTACCCGGCGGGTCCGGCAATTTTTCAGGATCCGGCCGGGTATCGGGTAATGGCGCCGGATACCCGGCACTGCCGGGTAATTAGGTCTAAGATGAAATTTAAAAAAAGTTATTTCAAAAACGGACATTTATTTCAATTAAACATGAATCAGTAGAAGAATTAATATTCAAAAGAGATAAATTATGGTGAAGAAATACAAGCTGTTCAGCACGATCGGAGTCAAGTCTGTTGCGCTTTTTCTCATAGATATTACCAACCTCCGAAAAGAGGCGTTCACTATATACGGAGCTGGCGGGAGTCGTTAAATATCTAATTGCGAGATTTTTATAATAGGGTAGTGACCCATATCATCGGCCCACCATTTATAGGGATTTATCTACAATCTCTTGCTGAGTTGAGATACTGATCTAATTCAGCCACGGCTGAGTTTTTGGAGGAGTTCTGGTTAATTTCTGATTCTTCGGCCGCCTCTTCGAAACAGGCCCAAAACCAATTATGTGTTTCAGCATCCAATCTCGACCTCTTTCCTGCTAGTCCTGTCTCGTTGTCTGATTCCTCATCGTCCCTCTCCTTCCTAACTACCGAGCGTCTGCCGGCCGGCAAGAACGCGCGAGGCGTGGACCGCTTGACTTGACCGTCAGTCTCAGTCGCGCCCAAACAGGGAAACGGAATGTACGTCTTTTCATGCCGAGTAATTTTATAAGCTTGCTAATTTTATTTAATAAGCTTGCACCGGGTACTCGGTTGCCGGGTACCTGGCAAAAGTAGGATCCGGTGCATTTCTAGTGATTAGTATCTATTCAATCAAATAAGAGCCGTAGTAGCTCAGATGCTCACAAGCTCAGATGGTTAGCGCTCGCTGTAAATTTCATAGTACGCAGCAAACCGGGTTCGATTCCCGCCGGCACCAATGAAATTTTTAATTGCAATTTTAAATGCTGATTTACCTCGTGCTCGGCGGTGAAGGAAAACATCGTGAGAAAACCTTTATGTCTGAGAAAAAAGAAAAAGATATATATACGAAGACATGTGAATTTTGCCAACACGCATTGGGGCAGCGTGGTGGACAATTCCTTTCCCTAAAATCCTCTCAGAAATGAGCGGAGGCCGATGCCCAGGAGTGGGACGTGTATAGGCTTTAACTAACTAACAATAAAACTAGGCGATGTGAATGTAAAATCTATTTGGCAATTTCGCGTCCAGAGACGCAACACAACATAATATGCTATTGGTCTTAAAGGGATAGTTATGTCATATAATGTTAATAATTGCTGATAAACTTTATAAAAACAATACGTAACAAATTATAGATTATGAAATAAATTTTAGATACCCAAAAATTCCTTAAAGCCCTCTTATGCTAATTTATCAGAGTTCCATTACATTCGAAGGAAGCGTTAAATTGTCATTACACCACACCCACGCATCACTCAAACCGAAAAAACAACGTTACTATGTCAGAAATTGTGGGAGAGACAACTGCCGAAGGTTGTTACGAACGGCGGCAATTTTATATCATGCAAAAACAAAGCGAGAGATAGTTATGCGATTAAATCGTTTATTTGATGCACTTATGCGTCATTTTTCTGTAAATGTTCGCTATAAAATGTAACTAGCAATTCTAGATCTAATTGTTGTAGATTCGGCTCATCCGTGACATGTTCAGCGCACGTAGTTAGTCTACTTTTACTTTCTTAACTTTCTCTGATGTTAGGATATATTAACCAATTAAGTGCTTCTATAGGATTAAAGTAATTGTGTTGCGAGCACAGGTATGCCGAAAAACAAATCAACAAATGCAAGAGTTTCACGCAATAAATTGTGTGATTAGAAGAATTTTGATCCTGAAGTCGAGCAATTTCATAAAACACTTTTATTGTAAATCCTAATTTCACTGTTCTGACCGTCTCTTGCTTTGTCGTGTGCTTGGCAGTGAAGTAATATCGTGAACAAGTACACAGGTAAGTATATGATGTTTTACTAGCCTGTAATACATGGGCCTCTCATCATCTCAGCGAATGGAAAGAGTTTGCTATTGGCCACGCTTAGCGGGTAGATTAATCGTAGTAACCGATGAACGGTGTGTTATACACCGACATCTATCGAAGAACCACTTTCTAGCCTTTCCCATCGCCTCCTTATTACACCCATCTGGCGGCTCCTAGTACAAATTGGGAATGATGGATTATTTATCTTCACACGGAATAAGTACGTTAGATCAAAGTATTCCAGGTCAAAGAAAACCGTGTAGTGGCGGTGTAAGAATATCCGCTAAATATCGTCCCGTGAGCGTTGTGAAAAGCGACAGACGGCACTGAGACAGGAGGTGGGCAGCACCGTCTTCCTGATAACAACTCAAAGTTATTAACGCCGTGGTTGCCAACCCGCCTGTCAAGCGTGACGACTATGGCAAAATCTCCCCCCCCCTCTCTCCATGAAGCAATATTTTTTATAGGATAGGGTGACAAACGAGCACGCAGTCCACCTGATGGTAAGTGGTTGCTGCGGCCCATAGACATCTACATCTATCCTCGATTACAAATCAAAATGCAATGTCACCCGTGAGGACTAAGATGGAATGTCTCGTTTCCAGTAAAAAAGGTTCTCCGGTTCTCTACACTCACCATACGAATACAGCAGCAATAAGCTACTATTTTACGCTGGTGTTCTGTGAGAGCGTAGTCCTTCCCCGATCGAGCCGACCTATTCGTGCTACAACTATACTACTAATATAACTTCAGCATGGCTCTCTCTACCATGTATAAACAACCAACGTACCAATCTATGGGAGCGGCCTATGTTCAGCGTTGGACTTTTATTAGCTGTAGTGGTAATTCCAGGTTTAGTCCTCGCGTCCCCCTAAGCGATGTAATTTTATTAATTTATCATACTTCTTGCCATCATAATAAATAAATAAATAAATAAAAAGTAGTTCTGGTCTTATAAATAAGGATAATATTGCTTGAAACTTGCCCAGAAACTTATTACTTATATAGAAAATTGTTTATCAAAGAACACCGTCAGCGGTTAGTAAGTTTCACAACTATTATAAGTACTTTTAATAAAGTGAAGAGATTCCTAATTTAAAATTTCAACTAGTATTCCCATATTTTTATTAGAACTAAGAAAATTAAAGGGGATTAATGTGAAATTCAATACTTTCATGTTCATAATCAGCCAGTTTATTGTACGGCTGACCTGCTTGCTTGTTGTGAGGTAACGAGTTGGTGGGAGTATCAGTTGAATATTACGATTTTTAATTTCATTTAAATATTCGTCGATAAAACTTTAGTATACATCGTATGAAATGACTCGAAGCACCGCATTGACATTAAGAGAAATAAATGAAAACGTCTTGGTGACTTTTGAATGTAATTTGACTAAAAGTACGTAGTATTATTGTTTATTCTGTGCTAAAAGGCTAGGCATTTAGATGAAATCCAACTTTTAGTAACTTCGTGGCCTCTACTTAACCCTCGGGGCTCATGATGTATGTGTAAAATAATGTCCATAATCTTATGTCTAGAAACACTTGTTGTTGTTGTGTAAAATGAAACCAAATCTAATTTTAAATGTCTTGGTACATAAACAAAACGATTCATTACAATTACCTACTGTTCTCAGAGTTTAACTCAATAATATTGAAATAGATATTGCTTTCTATTTATGGCAAATCTTTGGCTACCACTCAAATGTTTTTTATTATGATAATGCGCGATTCAATTATGATCGGTTGATCGATCAATTCCAATCGATTACCTACTTACCGGACGTTAAAAAAGTGAGCTTCGAGATTGAATGCGATTTAAGTCCATTTTCGATGTGTTTTTTGATGATCGATGATTTGTATATTACCTATATATATAATACCATATACCATACCATAATGGTATAGTATTACCTATATATGAAAAGATATGTAACGTAATTCTATCCTTTTCCTTCATATAGTGATACGTCCCTTGTTACTCTCTTTCAATCTAATATGTGCATCGTAATAAAAATACCGCTTAGTATGTAGATTTTAAAATTTATAACAACTGTTTATTTCGAAGGTACAAAAACTTAATTATTATGAAACAGGTAGACAAGGAAACATTAATATTATTTCAACAATAATTTTACGAGACTATTTAAAATTTGCAGTAATTAATAATATACCTTATAAATTACACATGTCTCTTAATTGACATTTTGGTAGTGATGTTTAAATGGTGATGTCTTAGATATATAAATACGATAATGACCAATAGTGGCAAAATTCAAATCTTTGTTCATTTTTGTATGCTTATTTTAGATAGGTATTTAGAAACTATTATACTAGGACTTATTATAATATCTATCAAAATTAAACCGGATCTAAAATTGCAAATATAACCTACTTGAGAACAGGTCTAATATTAAAATTATTTATATCAATAAACGGAACACGAAGCAAGCATTGTGCTAGGTACATACTTAGGTTACAAATTAACAAAGAATCAGTCGCGCAACTTTTAATTGCGAGACATTATACTTCGATAAATAGTAATTTAATAAATGATTATCAGGTTAGAATTGGATCTAGATTACGTTTTGTAGGACGTGAAGACGTTTCTTAAGGAAGTACGTCTAGTAAATAGCGACAAAGAAAACGTATAATACCCACGCAAGTAATAATAAAATAAAAAGTAATTTAGATCAACACTCAGCAGCTTGTTTAGCAGGATGGTTGTCCGTTAATCGTAGTCATGACAGTTGTGAAAGAAAGTTATGTTCGATAAGTCTGGTCTGGTTGAGTTGTGGTTGTCCTCTCGTGTCTCTATGCTGCCATCGGAGCTCTTCGCCGGTCTCATCGGATTAGCCCTATCACGGTTATCAGAGGTTATGTTTTGTTAGGTTGCATAAACATTATGGAAACGTCTCGTAGAGCGATCTTAACTTATCTTTGTGACAGGCGTCGCTTATCGCCGCAAGCAGAGATTTGTGGTACGAGGCGCGCAGCTGTTGTCAAACGCGAGGCCGTAATACATCATCATCCAGAAAAAATAATAAGCGGGCGACAATTTGTAATGAGTTTAGGTAGGAACCCGGCCTATTAACTGGTCGAACAAATTAGTAGGAGATAGTGAGTATGGTGTATTAGCTCGTAAACTTTTGGCGCCTTTTTGGAGAATCAATCTTTCAATTTCCTCCCGTAGGCACTTTATGAGTGTAAGTACTATGAGATATGCCAAAAAGATCTTATGACTTTCGAAAGATAGCGATATAAGCATTTCGTTTAACCCAGGTTAAAATACCTAGATCACGTCGGTAAGTAAGTCTTAAGTTGCGCAAACGTCTGGTACAATTCACCTGCCAAGCGTGATGATAAAGGCAAATACTCTCTAAAATGGGAGACCCATGTCAGTCAATCAGTGGACTTATAAGTTCTGATCAAGGAGACTATACTTGTTAAACTATTTTATCATATTATGCTCAGATAACAGTGAAGTAAAGGCAAAGTTACATCCTCGTCTTAATTTTATGAGAGTTTTAGGGCAATAAAGTGTCTGCTATGGCAGAAATTGCTAAATTATTTTTTTTAATTTCTCGGACATCCAGATTTTCTCACGACATTTCTCACACCACCGTACATAAATATAAGCATTTAAATCGCAATTAACAAACTCATTGGTACCGGTGGGGATCGAACACGGGTTCGTCGCCTGCTGAGAAATTTACGCCGAGCGCTTAGCCCCTGAACTATGGCACAGTTAACAGTTAAGGAGTTTTATGAAACGGTTTACTGTGTACTGTTAACTGGAAACTTCTTTACGTCCGATTACAATCGGAGCGTCTTCAAGGCAATATAAGCTTTTGTTACTCTTTGATTGTACGATCGACTATCAGGGCTTCATCTCCACTATAATAATGATATACTAGACGACCTTTTTTACTGTCTGGAAAAAATAGGGTGTAACATGTGAACGGAGTAGAAGCCTATGACACAAAAATTTTGAATTAAATAAATAAATTAATTAAAATCTAATGAAATTCAAATCATATCCACCCTACTTTACGAATCTTTGACCTTCTCACTTCACAGTGTAATAGGCTCAAGGGAAAGGGGCAAAGTACACGTTTATTCAAAAAAAAAAATCAAAAGGTTAATTCGTAAATTTTGTTTTTATTTTTTGTAAAATATTAGTGCCGTAGCCTTCTACTCCGTTCACATGTTACACCCTATTTTTTTCCAGTCGGTAAAAAAGGTCATCTAGTATATACTTACCACCGGGATTTGAGATTGTAATATTATTGTTGTATATATTGCACTAACTTATAGTTGGTAAAATAACAATAGATCCTCTGAATCTGTCAACGTGATTATAATCGATAATTGTTGCAATTTGTAAGAATCAATTAATAATAATAATTTAAAC